ATTTCAAATCAGAGTCACTCTGTTGAGCCTACATACTCTCTGAAGATTTTGTGAGTCCATGTTGTGGAAAATAAGCCATTTCAGGATTTTACAGCGGATCTAGTTGCAGTTCTTTTCTCCCCAAAATTCCAAATCCCACTGCCCTGCTTACAGAACAAGTAAGGTCAAATATAACCTGAGACAGAGCTCATAACTGGCACCAAAAAAAGCAACATAGTGCCAGCTGAGGCTAGCCAACAAGCTTCTCCAGGATTCACTGGAAAGCCAGGAATGGTCAATCTATGGAGATGGGAAGCTTCATTAAACAGAGAGAAGATAAAGAATGATTTCAGAATCAGACAAAAAAAAAAAAGATTTCTCCTTCAGAAGAGAAATAGGAAAAATGACGTTTATTCATTTGGAGAAAAGTATAGTAATTAGCTGACTGCTCAAAGGAGTGCTTCTTTTCATATAAAATGTCTGAAAGTATTCTTTCCACCATTTAGGGAATTCATGCTTTTGAGTTCTAATAATAGTATATTATGATGGGAGCAAGAGAAGAGGGCATCTTTCCTGGAAACATTGGCATGACTATGCCAGAGGCCTAATATTCTGCCTCTCGCAATAACTAGATATTTTATTTTTGTAAGTTTTGTAAGTTGTTGTCAATGCTATTGTAGAATATCAATCAATGTCACAATATAAAACTTGAAGGGAAAATATCTTTTGGTATTACTAAAATAAACGATACTAGCTTAACATACCATTGTCCTTTAGTGCATGTCTGTAGGAAGTAATAATCATTAGACCATCAACCTTCACATTCAAATTTAACTAGTAGGTACATAATTACTACCATTTTATTACATAAGTAGCACACGTCCTACAAAAAGAGAGTGAAGTTCTATATTCTTATCACCATTCTAATGCCTCTGCTGCCAAAGAGAAAGCACATGGAAACCACAAAGAAAACTAATATCAAAACTGAAGCAATGTACTGCAGGAAGATGATGGCCATACTTGAGCTATATGAAAATAGCAGGTGCAACTAACTTACAGTTCTTTAGCTTACAGTTTTTGGTTGCTCACAAGACTGAATGCAGATAATTAGATTTCAAAGTTATCAGATTGCTTGCACCTCTTCTATATGGAGCCAGAATACTATTATTTCTGAAGCTACTAGAACTATACCAATAAAGGACCATTTTACCTTGCGAGCTACTAAGATGTACTTTTAACTTGTGTTCAATTCTAACATCTTTAGAAACATAAAGTGAATCTCAAACTGCTGTATAACATTAGCAGAAGAAAAAAATCAGAGTTTAAATGCTAAAAACCTATGCAATACAATTGATTTTTACATATGGCATTGGTTCTTTTTTCTTTTCTTTTAAGAAAACATCCCAGACCCCCGATGCAAGTTAAGACTGGATCAAGGGTCATGCCGCGTTTATATCATAAAATGGTACTATGATAAACAAGCCAATGCCTGTGCTCAGTTTTGGTATGGTGGCTGTGACGGAAATGCAAATCGCTTTGAGAGTGAGGAAGAATGTAGAGAGACTTGTGTATTTTTTTCTGGAGGTAAGAATCCACATCTATCTCTGCATTAATAACTAGCAAGTTGAAGCTATTGACTGTTTGGATCAGTTATCAAATATCCAGCATGGCAAGCAAAATCAAACCCACTGTTTAAAAGAATGTTAACATTGTGAAATCATATACCCACAAATGAGACAAAAGTCTACATATACCAGCTCACTTTAATTCTTTCTGTACATATTTTATGATGTACTACCTCTTTAAAAAGTAACAACATTTCAGCAGTATTAAGGGTACCCCAATTTCCTTTTATACTAAGATGACTACAGCATTCGCCACAGTACTTGCCCTTCCTTCACCTGGATCTCTAAACACTACCATTATACAATCAGTAACAACATCCAATTTTAAATTGTAAACATGGCTTTGGAAAGCAACCTTTTGTTATTAAAATTATATAATTTATTTTCTCTTTGTTACAGAAATCTGATATTTGGCATGGATTTTGCAATGAAGACTTCACTTTTTTAAGCAAAAGTGTTTTCATAAATCCTAATTTAGTATTTCAAATGTAAAATATCTGTTTCCAAATTACATGCAAAGTGCTACTCAGGGGTTATCAGATAAATCAGAAAATACATCAGTTCGTTGCAGCTGAGCTACCAACCTTTCCCAACCACATCCCAGCTATATTTAGCTGTTTTTGATGTGAACTTTTCTCAGTTTCCATTAATTAGAAAGATCTATGAGAAACGCAGTTAAAACACATCCACAAATTTACCTGAAAGACGATATCAATAGCTGGCATTCCTAAATTGGTCTAAGTGGTTCTTCACCATGCGTTTCTCTTCTGAAAGCCAAGTTATCATTTGTAAATGCATTTTAGTATTTTAACCTGTTTCTTAAAAGTGCTTTTAATTTACATCCAAAACATCAACTGCAGCATAGTCCTAACAATGAGAATTTATTCTGTATTGCCTGTCACTGCCATGGTTTTCTACACTTATGTCTGTCTGTATACAATTTATTTCTCATTATTCAAATGATATACTTAAAAGCTTGTTTCTAATAAAACATTTCTGTTTTTGCTGCCTGGAGAGAGTGGATAATGGTACCTTTACAGGACTAAAAACTTATCTCACAGCTAAGTTACCACTTACAGTTAAATGTGCTCCTGATGATGTTACTGGATTTCTGCCCTAGTCATTAACAAGGCTAAACATCACTGATCAGGCACTCCTGCATGTAAAACAAAATTATATTTTTTTCTAAACAAACGGTAAGTTTAGCATACCAAAATTGCATGCGGCCTCAAGCCCACAGTGTTTCATTTTAACTAGTTTTTCAACAAGTTTCATTAAACATGTTCAGGCACACAAATTGACAGAGGTGCTTTAAAATAAGGCCTCTTCGTGAGTCCTCTGCTCTTTTCCATCCCACTCTCTCCCCTTGGCTGATGTGGTACCCTTCCTGCTTCAACAGCTCCCAGCCCCAGCGAAATCCCGCTCCTCTCTGTCAGAGCCGGCCAGGTGCTCCCTCTCCCATGGTGAGGCAGTTGGTAAAGAGAGAGAAGGACAGACATTTTTTTCAGAGGTTTTTAAACTTAGTCCTAAGTTTGTAAGGACTTCCATGTTGGTAGCAAAGGGCTCCTCGCAAATTCAAAGACCGGCTCCAGAGAAAAAATTGGCAAGGGTCAAGTTTCTTTCTGTATTTCGGACTGCACTTTTAGTCATTGTATATTTGAAAATGGTAGAGTATTATAAATAAAGTACAGCTAAGGACAATTTTCAAATTATTCCTAGTAAAGAAGGTTTTGATACACCTAACCTACCTTTAAAAAGAAAAAAAAAAAAGACTTAAAGCGAAAGAAAAGTTGCATTCGACCATTTTTAGAGAGGATTTTTGTTTGGCTTAATTTTCATCCACAAACAATTAGGATGTTACCTTCTACGAGAAAAAGAAACTTAAGACGCAACGAAAAGCCGCAACTACTACACGGGCCAGGTGCCGACGCTTCACAGCGCTCCCCGTCTCCCTCACGGAGCGCTCCCGGCGGCGCG